TCTTCACTCTTAATAGTCTCAAATTGACAACAGATTGTGTAACTACCACAGCAGGGAAACCCTATTCTACAAGCTTGTACCCGGCGGTATTGTTTATAGGAGTAAGAAGTGGGGAGACAAATCTAAATGTCTGAAAATCAGAGACTGGCTCAATAAATTATGAATAGATAATCTGTTTAATTCACAATAATGGAGTCATTAAAAGGGACATTGCTAAAGTGTATTCATGGTGGCAAAGGTTTATAAAGATTACCAAACAATACATAGCATATGAGCCATTTTTAATGGCAACATATGCATAACTGAAGGTGTAAACACTGGTTATCTCTTGTTTTAGGATACAAAGGAAACCCCAAATCTCAAATATAATTTAAGTAGAACATTAATTAAGTGTTAAACAGGACAAAAACAAGAAGAAAAAGATAGATCATCCAGATGAGAGAGACCATTAGCACAAGGGCATAATGGTGTCCAGGGGGTTGTTGAGATTCAGATTTAAGAAGAACACAGGAGGACAAAGGAAATTATCACAAAAGGTTAATTGGTAGCAGAGCAATACTTCACTGTTACAGGTGGGACTACAGAAGTGGGAATTACTAGGACATATACATAATGTTAGTAGAACTTACAAGGCCAACCACAATAGTCAGGGCCTAACTCATGACTATATGATCCCAATATGACAGTGACACTCCTCTATCTGTAAGAAAGAGTTTGTGGTAGTTACATAATCTTGCATCAACTTGAGGGTATTAAGAGTGAAGGGGTGGAGTTTAGCCTGTTAATCAGGTGGCAGTTTGATTGGAGAGGAACCAAGACAGTCCCTCTATCTCTGCTTTCTCCTTCCTGTTGACAAGCCATATGGAGCCATGATGAGTGACAGTTCTCATTGTTGGTGTCAGAGTCCCAGCCAGGAGAAAGGTGAAAAGGCAGAGAGGAAGGTTCCCAGTTTCCCTGCTTATAAAAAGGCCACACACCCCAAGGAGGCATCATCAGGCTGTGACCTGACAGGTTGGATTTCACCCCTACACTTCATACACCTTCATGCTGATATAAAATCTAACTGCCACATATAACAAGGCCTTTCCCATCTCTAATCCATAGTTAGTGGGATTCACTGGTGGCTTAATCAGTATGGGGTACCCGGCAAATGGGTTTTGGGCTTTCACTGTCATATGCAGCCTTCTGTACACTGAGTGTTCAGAATTTAAGCTCTCATATCATTTCCTCCTCTGGGTTTGGATTTTAATGTTTATAATTCTTGAATCACACATGCTAATGTGCTTCTTCCGAGCAGACTTACCCAACATCCCATTCAGGTGGCTGCTTGTTTTAAGACAAAGTTTTAAGATCCCAGATGCTATTCTTTTTGATAGACAGGCCCCATTTCCATTTTTCACTACACTTTGCTACAGCATCCCTATCTTCAGTGATCACTTCATGGGGATAAATATTGAGTCAAATATAATTTAAGCAGAACATTTATTAAGCCTTAAAAGGGGCAAAGACACAAGCATTATCCAGATGAGGCAGGCCATTAGCATGAGGTCATAATGGCATCTGAGGATACACAGTAAGGGCACTGGTTAAATAAGGCATGGAACAAAGCAAACTGGCACAAATTCATGACTGGTGGGAGATCAATATATCACAGTTACAGGTGGGACTATAAAAATAAAAATATGGCCATGACTAAGACACGTATACTAGGTTAGACTGAAGAATTTACAAGATTGGTCCAGGGCCCCCTAAGGTGGTCAGAGCACGTCTCATAGGACGTGACAATGCAACCCCAGTACAGTCATCAAGGACACGCCCAGCAAGCCTCTAACAGAGACTGCCCCTTGGGCTGGCTGGAGGGGTTAGAGATAATCCACACTCCAGGACACAGTCCTTGAAGGCAAGATTATCTAAATCCTTGGTTAATGATCAGAAGGAATTCAGTGGAAGCTTAATCTACGGGGACTCTGCAATGGATTTTTGGTTTCTCACTGTCATCTGTAACCGTCTACAAACTAGGGTGCTCAGAATTTAAGGTGTACTCCAGTATCTTCATTAGAGAACTGGGCAGGATCATACTAACTGTTCTCAGATTAGGGTTAAAATAAATTTGATTAAATTTGGGCTTAAAATCCATTCATATACTTATGGATTATATACATATGATCCACTTCAGAGGTAGCATATCAACTTTGATAAATAATATAAGTAACCTCCCTGGGACATTTGGTAATTCTATTAGTATCATTAATTTAGCCAATAGTACAGAATTGAAAATACTAGTGAGAAAAGGAAAATATGTATATATACACACATTATATAAATATGTATATATAATCTAGCTTTCAAGGCTAGATTACTTGCAAAGTTCACTCACACAGATTAAAAAATTTAGGTGACAGCACTGCTTAATGAAGAAAACAATGAGGGTTACACACAAGGCAACACTCATGCATGAAGACAAAACTATTTGTCTGCAGAATTATCTGCTACTGCCATTGAGTGGATGCCGTCTCATAGGGATCCTAGAGGTAAAACTGCCCGTATTGGTTTCTGAGATAGTAACTATTTGTGGGAGTAGAAAGTCTCTTATTTCTATACCAGCGTGGTAGGTGGTTTAAAATGCTGGCCTTTCTGATTATCAAGCAAACTCGTAACCAGTATGCCACCAGGGCGCCTCTGTAGAACTAAGGCATGTCACAAAAAATAATAAAAATAGAAAATATGTGCTCATCTCATATTGCCAATTATTGGGAAACGTAAAAATAGATTTTAAGGATTTTCTTCCTTTTGGCCTATTGATTATTTCTACAATTTTGTTGAATTGCTATTTAGGGGCATAGCAGTTGCTAACTTTCAAGTGAAAACATAAAATATTTAAAAATGAAACATACTTAAAAATTAGCGATGCTAGACCAGAGGATGTACTCTAGTACAGATAGGAACTGGAAATCCAGGGAATCCAGGGCGGATGATCCCTTCAGGACCAGTGGTGTGAGTGGC